CGCAACACTATGCGGTCGTTGTTGTTCGCAGATAAAAGCCATAGTATTGGTTTCTCGGCAGGTGAAACCGCCGAGAAGTGAACTCCTTACTAAAAGGAATTAGCATTCAATAAAAAATACCTATTTTTAATCTCTGAACCCTCACCCAAAATGCGAAGACTCTCATTGCCACTGCCTAACCTCACGTCTTCGGCAACTGAAAAGTTCGCCGTTGAGCTTGCGATTATTTCAGGTAAAAATAGTCGTCCTAAAATGCGTTGAGTGCAAAAAGTATACGTTGCTGGCGAAACTTTTCTCCTATGAATCAAAACCTCTACTTTCTCCTTCACCATTGCCATTTCAAGTGCCACTGGTAAAGACCGACCTTTCGCTGAAAATGAGCTTTCCATTTATCGTTTGCCATAGTGTTTGTATGACAGAGATTAAGAGCACAGGAACGCCTGCGCATTTCAGTTCATCGAACGAGATCAGATGTTTGCTTAAATTCTCAAAGAAATGACAGCAAGGATACCACAGAAAACTTGACGACCCCCAGTTTGAACAGATGATTACAGGAAATCTTCTACAAAAGTGGTTTCAGGTTTTTTTCTGGTTGACATCGAAATGACACTTGAGTGCAGGTGCTTGCAGGGTGTTCAGAAACGCATTTGCAGCTTTAAACTGTGACACCCCTCTGTGGAAGGAAAAATGAACTTGAGTATCTAGCGGACTGGCCTAGACTGTAAGAAGAAAAAAGAAAATTTCACCATAGAAACTTGGTGACCAAAGGTCAAGAGGCTGCGTTTCAGATATAATGAAAGATTTCGTTTCGAATTTTGCAGAAGGTTCTTTCATCAAACGATGGATCTCTTTGCAGCTTTAATTGTTATTTATTCTTTTAATATTAAGTCTAAGACTTTAATAAATTTCTCTAAGACCACATTTCATAATGTGTTTGGTGGTCTTTTGTTCCTAGTTGCCATAGCGATATGTAGACGTTTCATTGCGCCATGGTATTTAAGGAAATGCATTGCCGGGTGCGTCGCGCATAGTTTATTTCTCTACAGCTACCTCTCCCTCATTAACGATGTTTCAGGAGTTGACACACTTCGAACCTTGCGGAATCTTGTTTATTGACACTCAGCGTGTGGTATTCATCAAAGTCTGATGACTTCAACGAATCAAATTTGATCGAATCTACAGTGACATTATAAAACTACCGAGAAAATAGAGTGGA